ATGAAAACGAGGAGGATGAGCTGGGCGCCGTGAACAAAAGTCCAGTATTTCCTTACCAGTCACCAGGTTTGGAGGTCTTGCAGTGCAAGTACCACGTGGCCGTGACTGAGGTGGTTGAGCTCAAGTCAGAAGTGAAAGCACTGCGGGACAGGTTGGCTCAATGCGGGGAAGGCATTGCACATGAGAAGCCAAGGAAGGAAGGAAATGCCCTGCAACAGAGACTGGAGAGGAAGGTAACGGCACTAGAACAGAGCTGCCAGGAAGGGAAAGAGAAGGTAAGCTTATGTACGCCATCTTTTTGTTTTAAATCCTCAAATACTTCGTGTGTGTGTGTGTGTGTGTGTGTGTGTGTGTGTAATACAATTATGAATGGTTTAAAAGTCAAGTCCAGACTTGAACCCTATTGTCATTCTTTTTTGACCAAGATGTCCTCTTGTCAGATTTCTAGTATGGAGGCTGAGTTGCAGGCGGCTCAGTCGGCAGCCGCAGAGAGCCAAGGGGCTTTGAATGCTGCTCAGGATGAACTGGTGATGCTGAGCGAGGAGCTTGCCCAGCTCTACCATCATGTCTGTCTGTGCAACAACGACACGCCCAACCGTGTCATGCTGGACTACTACAGGTCTTGCTCTCGTTTTATTTGCATGTGTTTACACCATTAACCATTCTGGAAAACCATAAAAATCTAGTAAACTCTTTAACAACAACAATAACAACCCCCCCCCCAAAAAAAAAAAATATATACATAGAAAATGTAACTCATACAAAGGGAGGACCAAATGAACTATCCCTAACACACCCTGGAGCTCTTAAGCATCTTTATTTTCTACTCTAGACAGGGCAGGGGGCTCCGGGGCCTTTGTGCCAGTCTCAAAGCCATGTCTGCTGACAACAGTAAAGTTCTCCTCACGCCACGCCTTGCCAGGAGACTGGCCACCGCCACCTCCACAACCTCAACCTCCGGGGAGTCACGGAGCCCCTCTGAGTCTCCGTCCAAAGAACCGCTGTCCGGAGGGGATAGAGGAAGACACAATGAGGAGGGGGACAAGGAGCTGACGCAGGATCATTCGGAGCAAAGTCTGACTCGCTGCAGTCCTCCAACCCGGTCACCCAGCATCAGTGCCTCATCATCGTCCTCGTCGTCCTCATCGCCCGCTTTGGAACCGGCTGGTGAGCTACGCAGAGAGCCCTTGAATATCTACAACCTCAATGCCATCATCAGAGACCAGGTAGAGAGGCATCATCTGTTTTACACTTATAATTTTCCATTTCTGCTGCCTGGTACTTGATTTTCATTTCCTCATTCAGACTTGATTTCTTTCCAAAACGTTCCAACCTCAATTTTCAGGTAAAGCACCTGCAGAGAGCAGTGGACAGGGCTCTTCAGTTGTCCAGACAGAGAGCCGCAGCGAGGGAACTGTCTCCGTTGCTCGACAAGGACAAAGAAAGCTGCTTGGAAGAGATCTTGAAGCTCAAGTCCCTGCTCAGTACCAAGAGAGAGCAGATCGCCACTCTCAGACTTGTGCTCAAAGCTAACAAACAGGTGGGGTGTCGGCTGCTTGTATTAGCGTTTGGTTGATCACTGTTGAATGAACTACTCTGTCGGCGAAAACCCACACAAAGGCTCGAGAAAATCGATATTAACATTTAGAGACTGGCCCCCCATTGTATACCTCTGAATTCCAAATTAAGTAAACTGTACACGCAATGCTTTTGATGGGAAAGTTGCCCCTGCTAACATGGCCGCCACATTTGCACTTTTTAGCCTGCTCTCGTCTACTGTACATCTGTTTATTGTTAAGATAGCAGCGCAATTGAATTGCCGTCGTTTCTGGTGTCTGTGGTGTATTTTCCCCAGACAGCAGAGGTGGCGCTCACCAACCTAAAGAGCAAGTATGAAGCAGAGAAGTCAATGGTGACAGACACCATGACGAAGCTACGGAACGAGCTGAAGGCCTTAAAAGAAGACGCGGCCACTTTCTCCTCCGTACGAGCAATGTTTGCCACCAGGTCAGTGAGCAGATACGAGCAACTGAAATCCGGTTGACGATCCAATTTTCCCTTACCCGCTCCTCTCAGTGAAAAAAAATTGACCGATAGCGTGGAGGAGGGACCACCTGACCAACTCTGTGATTTTTTTTTTTTTTTTTTTTTTTTTTTTTTTTTTTTTTTTTTTTTTTTTTTTTCTGAGGAAAGTGTCACTGGTCCTTTTTTTCCGCCTCCCTCAGGTGCGATGAGTATGTGACCCAGCTGGATGACATGCAAAGACAGCTGGCCGCGGCTGAGGATGAAAAGAAGACGTTGAACTCTCTCCTGCGAATGGCCATTCAACAAAAACTGGCCCTCACCCAGCGTCTTGAGGACTTGGCATTTGATCAAGAGCAAACGCAGCGTAGCCCCGCCTGCCGGCTGACCCGCAGGAAGGCCAGCGCTCCCAAAGTAAGTCTCGCGACCTCAACTTCGGCCTCGGACCTGACGCAAGGCTCTGGTGCAGCTTTGGTTCCCAGTTGTTCCTCCCCTTCCTGCCTTAACAGTCCAACATCAGTTGTCTCTACTGCTGCAGACTTGTCCTCAACTCTGACATCCCCGATATCACACATACCCTGTCGCAGTCCGTCATCACCAGCGATTGCCTTGCCGCCTGAAACTCTGGCGGTAGAAAGCCCTCCGTCTCTGGAGGTGTCAACAACGGCGTCCTCAATCCCCCAGAGGCCTGCTCAGTCACGGTGGACCCTTGGGATGCGAACATTTGTCGTGGATTCCCAGAGTTTCCGAATTACATCTCCTTTCTCCCGTAGCTCGACTCCTTCAAGGCATGTCGCTCCAGATACTCAGACCACTGCGCTGACCGCAACCAGACCGAACCAAGCAGGCTCCACCCCTTCGTCTCCCTATCGATCACCACTGCTCGGGCTCAAACGCTCTTTGTGGAGCCCATCACCCCGGACTCGTCCCTTGTCCAGGCTGACGGGAACTTCCGTACATCACATTCCCTCGTCATCCTCTCAGTACTCTTCTTCCTCCCATAGTTATTCACCCGCCTACTACAGCGCTTCCGGTCCAACGTCATACAGCCACTCGAGCCACTACACTCCTCTCTACCCCAGATACTACAGTTCCTTCCGGCCCAGACATTGACCGTACATTTTTGTTGCTCCTCTTCCCTGAAAACACGGTGTCCTTTCCCCCCCGTTTTCTATATTCCTGTGCCTACACCTCGGCCAATGCATTTGGAATATTTTGTGACATTACTCAGGGAGTTGAATCCAGGAGCACAAGTGGCCCTGCCTTCCGTTTTATTCTGTGACTGCTAATTAGTCCAGAAGAGGAGATTAATAGACTTTTTCATGAGCATTTTTAGCAGTTTGAGTTGACAACTCACATGCAAGATTTGTTAAAAACAATGAAAAAGAATACTGAAATTTGTTTTTTGTGTCGAGTAGCACATCAAGTAGCCTTTACTAGTGTACTAGCCACTCTGTCTGAAATGCTGTGGAAGCTAACATTCTATATTCACAAATGGTCACATGCAAGCTTTCGTCTTTTTATCGTACACTTTGAAGTAAAGGACTTAGTCTGGTGTTAACGACAAGTAATCCATTCCCCTTTTTTTTTTTAAACGCTCCCACAATCCTGCAGTTAAAAAAAAACAAAACAAAATACTTGAATGTGGTTTCTGGCCCACTGCTCAATAAATGTACCTTCTGCAATATCAAATGGGGGGCCATTTGAAAGATATGGGACCTTCGCACTCTTGCTTACATTTGCGGTACGAGTATTAAAAGAATCTTTGAGTACTTTTTCCAGAGAGGATAGGCAGCCAAAATAAGAAATTATAATATTATCACACATGATAATAAAAGCACATGCTTCTGCTGACGTTGGTTCCTTCAGAGTGATTCTTCATAAGCTACCATAAAGCTACAATTGTTTCCATACAGTGTATTCTGTGGTCCGGAATTCTTATTTTTGCGCTGCATTCTATCCCTTGGTTACGTCTGTGCAGAGTTAATGTATGTAGTCTGTTTGTCTAACGGTGTCAGTCTCTTGCAGGCATTCAGTAGCCACGGTATCGTTTGCCATACCCTGCCTGCAGCTAAGGATGAGTGCTTTCAGGTAAGAGGAACATCAGTCAGATTTCTAGCTGCGCAAACACCAAAAGTAAACTAAACTCATGTTATATACACACAGTGGGTCAACTTAAAGGGCCGTTGCTATTTCACTTACATCCTTTAGGTGTCAGTAGTGAGCTTTCAAACTCTTTCCAAATGTCAAAACAATGACATCTGTGGACTAGGATATTCTCAATTATTGTTATTATTTCTAACAGCCTGTTATTTGTCTTCACATTCAACGAAGGAATGACACATTTGCAGATTTTTTTTTCTCGTGTGATTAGATTCAGACCATAATTACTAACTATTCAAAATACAGGTTGCAATCGCGGTAATAAGAGCAATTATGATTTGTGCTTCACTCTTTTTTCTGCCAGTTGCCCGTCTCTGTATCATGTTAAACACACTGTACGTACAAATGCTTGCTCGGAAGTCATCCGTGCATCTGAATCAGATAACATTTTATGGTCCTCATAATTTTGAGCTCATCACTAGTGTGTGGTGGCGTGACAATTCAAATGGCCCTTGACTGACAGGGGCAGGAGGAAATAGAGTTTAATTGTAAATTTTCGATTTAAAAAACGGAATTTGCTAAATTGTTCTGATTATTATTTTCGTCATCATCTCATTTCCTGTCGTCATCAGCTCGTACACCAAAGACGTCAGCGTGAAGATGTCTTACTTGAACTGAAATTTGCAGCACAGTGAACGGTGGCTTCTTCTTTGAACACGTTGTGTGGACTAATTATTTCAGCCCCGAAAACAGAGTGTGAATACAATACTCATATATATAATTTTTTCCTGTGAATCCGATTCAAACCCCACGAGAGCGCATGCGACCACGATGAGAAACGCTCGCCGTGTAGACCGGAAGTGAATAATAAATACCAAACGAGTAGCTCATCATCCTCCACCGCGGCGATCTGTCATTTTGTAAACGGGCTCCCTCGCGAGTCACTGTCCCTCTGTTAAACTTTAACTCAGAAGGTCATTCCTTTAAAGTTCACGTTTAGCCCACAGCATCCCTACGAAAAGGTGGTGGAGGTGAGGAGGTAAGAACCCTGGCTTTTCAAGAACATCCTTGTGTTACCTTACATGACAGAAAGTCAGAGAAAAGTCTTCCGGTTAAGGTGAGGTTGATTAATTGATTCGGTGCAAGACAGCTTGTCTTGCGGCGCTAAAATATTAATTGTAGTCCTACTAATGCCGTTAATGCTACGTTTAGCTAGCTAACGAAGGGCTGGCAACTGTTTACCTTTGCTAAATTCACGCATCGCACCTTTGTTTGATAACTGCATTATGTTTGAATAGAATAAAATAGATGGAATCCGCAAAATAAGACATGGCAGCAAACGCATTCTCGTTCCTTCCTTTCCTTGTCAGATTGAGATATACTAAATGAATGATGCATTACTATATGAATGTCAAACAAATTAAAACTCACAAAGAACAAGGGATAGGACTAGATATTTTTTTACTTCTTACTTCCTTTGAAAATGTAAATTGTGCTGAATGTGGTGACTATTTTTTTCTTCTGTTTTTTTTTTCAATTTTACTTCCCTTTACTTCCTGACGAATTTATATTATCTGTTTATATGTTGATTTAACAAACAATCGTGTACTCCAAGGACGTTTCTGTGCTGTCGTTGTTGTTATTCCCAGATTACGCAACACACAGTGTCAGATTTAGTTTCAAAATTTTCTAATATTTTTAAATACACGAGTTGTGTTCTGCCTGTAGTTCATATTATTGTTCTAAGCATGAAAGGACTCCAAAGAGTAATTTTTTTTCCTGCCAAATATTGAATCAGCATACAAAAAAAATCCATATCAGTCGAGCCCGAATTAAAACGTTTGCCCCAATATTTTGTATTTTCAAGGTTGCTTGATGTAAAAAAAACTCTGAAATCCTCACCCAAAAATGTGGATGTCTCTAATTACGCCCATTTCAATCGCTGCAAAGTGTTAACAGGTTATCTTCAGCCCGTCTCCCTTATCAGCAGAAGCGTAAAATTATTACACAAGACCACCAAACAGGGCAAACTAAAATGATTTCCTTTCTTTCCTTACTAGCAGAGAGGAAGTGTGGCACGCATGGATTAATCAAACCAATGAGGACAGACACGAAGTAAAACTCAGATGGAGCCAGCAGAAGAAGAAACAGCAGCAGCAGCAGTCGTTCAGGTGGATGATGCAGACAGGTTGCTGATGCACAAGATCGAGCGTCCCGTCTTCAGTGAGGCCCACCTCAGGTCGCAGCTTCTCCATCGCAAAGAGAAAACCACCACCCTCCGACAGAAGCTCGCACTACACTTCCAGTAAGTCAAATAAAAGAAATTACTTGTGTTGGAACGATAAATTGATTGAAAATTAAGCTTTTCACAATTAATTCCTAGATGCTAGCCAACCTCCAGTTTGTTCTCATTCAAAATAATATCCAATCTGCTGACACATTGCAAAACGCCATCGACATGCTAACACTTGGCATCGACAATTGCGGCTCTTGAACACAAATGGTGGTGCAACACACGTAGGCAAGGCAGAGCAGCGTTATTTATATAGCACATTTCATACACACGGCGTGTGATTCATATCTTTAAAATCTGACGTTTAAAAGGAGTCACAAACAAAGGAGTTCAAGACAAATCATCAAAACAAAACTGTAAAGTGCTGTGCTCTTCTCTCTCCATGTAGGTGTTCATCCCAGCGAGCAAAGGCAGCGGTTTTTAGCTTCCTGCCTATTCTCACGTGGCTGCCAAAGTACCCAGTCAGGGAATACCTGTTCCATGATGTGGTCTCAGGTCTTAGCACTGGCGTCGTGCAACTCCCCCAAGGTGAGCAGCCTACGGTTTGGGCAGCAGGAGACACAAAAATTCTTTGCAATAACATTGGATGATAGTTTGAGCACGGGGGGTTGTGAGGAGAGTTTTGTTTATGAGTTCAACATTTTTTTTTCCTTCTCCCTCGCTCACCGTACCGCAGGTCTTGCCTATGCTATGCTGGCTGCTGTGCCTCCAGTTTATGGTCTATACTCATCGTTCTACCCTGTTCTGCTCTACACTTTCTTTGGCACGTCCAGACACATATCCATAGGTGAGGAAAAAAAACAAAACAAAACAAAAAAATACTTTTATACAGAGGACCGCACTTGAATCAAGTCTGCCCACGTGTGTGTGTGTGTGTGACTTGCAGGCACCTTTGCGGTCATCAGCCTGATGATTGGAAGTGTTGCAGTCAGGGAGGTTCCAGACTCGTACATGCCACCCACCAACGGGTCCAACGCGTCTGCCATCTTTGATGTGGCGGATCGTGACGCCCGGAGGGTGCAGGTGGCTGTGGTGCTCACAACCTTGGTGGGAATCATTCAGGTCAGTGTCCAGTTTGGTATATGAACCTCCGCCGCATGTCCGTCTCACTTGCGTCAAGACTGTTGCCCTTTTCTCCTCCTTAGATGATTTTAGGTCTTCTCAGGTTTGGCTTTGTGGCCATTTACCTCACGGAGCCCCTGGTGCGAGGCTTCACGACAGCGGCCGCGGTGCACGTGGTGGTCTCTCAGTTAAAATACCTGCTGGGAGTGAAAACCAAGCGTTTCAGTGGACCCCTCTCGGTTATATTTGTGAGTTTGAAAGTTCAGACATTTTTTACTCAATAGTTACGATTTTTATTGATATAGATATAAACAGTAACAGTTTTTTTTTTCTTTTTTTTCAGAGCATCAAGGCAGTACTGAGTGACATTACGAGTACGAACATCACCACTCTCATCCTGGGCCTCGTGTGTCTCGTCTTTCTGTACGCCATCAAACATCTCAACGAGCGCTTCAAAAACAAACTGCCTATCCCCATTCCCGGGGAGATAATTGTCGTCATTGTGTCGACGGGCGTCTCGTATGGCATGACGCTGGCCGCCAACTATAAGGTCGACGTCGTCGGGGAGATACCGACCGGGTAAGGGTTCACACGCCTTGTATCTGCGATTGCAATCGTACTTGAGTGTCGAATGGTATCTATAGCGATGAGCTATCTTTCTTCGAGATTAGTTGTCTTTCCAAAGACGGTTGACAAGTTTTTATCTGAGCTGACTTGACATTTAGCCCATCACTGTACAAAGTACTCTATAGGTTTTCCTAACACCGCGTGATTGGACGTTCTATTTGGCGGTTTAATTTGATTGCCCAACGTGTGTTCGGAATTGCACCGGAGAACATTTGCAATATGTCAGGTGTCGTGTTTGTATAACAGTGGCAAAAAGTGCTTCAGGCGTCCCCTTTGCGTGTGTTCTCAGGCTTCTTCCGCCCGTCGCTCCGGACTTCTCTCTGTTGCGCACTTTGGTCACCGACTCCTTCGCCATCGCGATCGTGGGCTTCTCCATGGGGATCTCGCTGGCCAAAATCTTTGCCCTCAAGCACAACTACAGCGTGGACAGTAATCAGGTGCGGAAAGCGGAGACTCGACTGACGTGTGACATGAAGTTGTGTCAACAAAAGGGATTCAGAGGGTCGGCTAGGAAAGAAAAAAAAGGTCAAGTGCAAGGTTAATAAAAGGTCACTAAGTATTATGCACTAAAGTAAATTAAACTACAGTACATTTCCCAAATGGCTATTTCAACATCACATGGAAGTTATTTTGCTGAACACTTCCTCAAAATCTAAATCTCCCTTTTTTTTTTTTTTTTTTTTTTGGATAACAGGAGTTTATAGCCCTTGGCCTGTGTAACTTCATCAGCTCTTTCTTCCAAACATTCACCATCACTTGCTCCATGTCAAGGAGCCTGGTGCAGGAGAGCACAGGGGGTAAAACCCAGGTAAAATCGATGTTACAAAATTGCAACGATGACGCCATGCTATGTCGACCGTCATTTTACAATAATAATTTTTTTTTGTATGCTTGGTTCAGATTGCCGGCCTGCTGGCCTCTCTCTTGGTGCTGCTGGTGATCGTCGCCATTGGTTTTGTCTTTGAGCCACTGCCACAGGTGAGCTTTGGTGATGTCATGACGCCACGTTATTGAGAAACTTTCCAGCACTCGTCTCCTGCAAAGCAGTCGCTGCTGGTGCGAATTAAGAGTCTCTCCGCCTTTACGTCTCACTTGTTATGCGCCCATCTTGTGTTGGGTGCATCACAATAATATGTCTATTCCGTGTCCCCAGACTGCGTTGGCAGCGATCATCATGGTCAACCTGCTGGGGATGTTCAAACAGTTCAGAGACATCCCAACGCTCTGGAGAACCAGCAAGATTGAACTGGTCAGTCAACAGCCAAAATGATGCGTCAACTGCGCTCGGTCGGTCACGAAAAGTGGTGTGCGCTAACGTTGTTTTCGTATGAGCTCATTTAGCATTTTTTGGTGGATATGAATCAAATGTTTTTGTTTTTAATCAGGCCATCTGGCTGGTGACCTTTGCGGCATCTGTGCTATTGGGCTTGGATTACGGCCTTCTCTTTGCCATCGCATTTGCTTTACTGACCGTCATCTACAGAACACAGAGGTCAGTTGATTTTTAGTTTAAGGCACCATATCAAGTTTTTCGGGTTTAAGGCCGATCTCTGTTTTGTCCCGCAGCCCGAAAAACGCCGTTCTCGGGCAGGTTGCCGACACGGGACTCTACTGTGAAGTGGACGAGTATGAAGAAGTGAGTCGAGAGGAGAGAGACAGAGAAAGAGAGCGTGCATTGGCCAAGTGGCGCCCTCAACGGTGACCATTTGATTTGTCTCCTTCCAAGGCGGTGGAATGTGAGGGGATTAAAATTTTCCACTCCAACGCGTCAATCTACTTTGCCAACAGCGACCTTTATGTGAGCGCGCTCAAAGAGAAGGTAATCCTCGTTACCTTGGAACCGCAACACGGCCGTGCGAACGCGGTGGTCCTTTTCTCTTATTGGTTGCTTCAGTACAGAAAGTAAAACACTTTTTTTTTTTTTTTTTTTGTAATGAGTCTCATGCTAACTGAAGACTGTTCATTACTAGCCGATTATGTGCTAGCAGCCTGCTGGGAGAAATTTTCATCACAATCCTTTTTGATATTTACTGAGCTAGAACTCATGTCAGCCAACCAATTAAGTGCCACAGAACAAGTCTGTGCTTCCCTGACTGGTCTATCCAGATCCAAACCTGTTCTTATTTGGTAACGTGCTTTGGGGGACATATTTTGGAGCTTACCTTTGACACTAATTTTAAATTTTTTTTGCAGACTGGTGTAAACCCCGAACACATACAAGCATCCCGAAAAGCTCGGAACAAACCAAAGGCCAGCAGCAGTCTGACGTGCTCTCTAAAAAGAAATGCTGAGGTAGATTCACTGACTCTTATTTTCCTTTTTTTGGGGGGGGGGGGCGGACTGCTTTTTGTATTCCCTCACATATTTGCGCTGGTTAAATATGTATTGTGCCGTCCGTCTCTGTGCTTGTGTAATCGCAATTGTGTTATGTCCTGACCTGTACAGGATTGTGTAAATGCTGACAGGACTGAAAAAACTTGTTTTCATGGGTGAAGAGGGAAGGAAGCTTTTCGGTGACAATAATAAGCAGTACCGTCCGTGTACTCGTATCAAACATTAAATCTATGACAGTCCCTTGAGATAAGAGTGACTTTAAACAGATTTAATGTTGCTAGTTCATGTGAGTCTGCAAGTCAGAAAATGTGCACCCAGCTTTTGTTTTTTTTGTTTTTTCTGGCTAGGAGAAGGACGGCGAGACGACGCACCAAGTTTTGCCTTTTAACAAAACGGGCGGCGATCAGAAAAACGGCTGCCTGACAGAAGGTCACGGGGAGGCGGATTCCGAGGCGCTGGTCTTCCGCCCGTCTCTCGGCTCCGTCCGCTTCATCATCCTGGACTGGACGCACGCTGGCTTTATTGACTCCGTGGGAGCCAAAGCCGTCAAACAGGTTCTTCGTTTTTATTCATTTCAGTCGAGTCAACACTGGCAGAAGAAAGCATTCCTCGAGGCTGACTGTTCACTCCAAATTCATTTCATCCTACGAATGTAACGAAGAAGAAATGCTGTATGCTAGTAGTCCATAAGGCACTGTTGATGTCTGCAGGTTATTAAGGAGTATGCAGCGGTAGATGTTCAAGTCCTCATCGCGGGCTGCAACAGTAAGTACTCTAAGACCTACTACACTACTTTTTTTTTTTTTTTAATTTTGTTTATTCTTACAATACATTGGTCAACTTCACACTTGTGTATGGAGGTGAAAGGCGTACCTGCACGTGGCATCTTTTCAAACAGAGGTCGCTATTTGTTGACGTTCTTTGATTCTGATCCGACGTGTTTTTCTGCTCGGTTCGAATAGGAAGTCTGCTGTCTGAGCTGGACCGGCTGCAGTTCTTCTCTGAAATCGTAAGCCCTGAAATGGTGTTCCCCACCGTTCACGATGCCGTGTTGCACTGCCAACATTCCCAACCCAATTCCGCATGCTGATACGACTGTGAACCATTATACACTATTTTTTTGCACTGAAAGCTTGTTAAAATGTCCAGGATTTGAACAAATTCATCCTTAAGACGGTTGTCTTTGTTGTTCCTGGTTAGTGCAGTGTTGCATTGCGCTGGATCCGTGTTTGTGTGCGTGCGCGCGCGCGTTGTGTCAAATGTTGAACAGCTGCAAATGGTTAGTTTGCAGTATCAGGTGCACATTAAATAGGGAGGATTTTTTTTGCTTCCTAAATGCATTTCTCGTAACTTTGTGGGTAAAAAAAATGTCAGTATTTTCATGTTTTGAAATATATTCTGTCATGGCAGATGCTCACTGTGGAAATGTTTTGTTTAAAAACGAATCTTTGGACACAATGTGGCATAAAGGTTTATTTTTAACACCTGACAACAAAAGGACATTATTTCTTGACTCTGCTTTCGAAGAAGTAAAGAGGCAAACCGGACAACACGCGTATATACACTCAATTGTAGGTCATGTATCTTGGCGTGGCGCTGAACTTGGCGTAGGACTTGATGACCTTGTTCACCGCCTCCAGGAAGTCCTTCTCTGTGGCAATCTTCCGGCGAGCCCTGATTGCGAACATGCCGGCTTCCGTGCACACGCTGCGAATCTCGGCACCTGGCAAGACAAGCCAAACACCCGACGTCGGAAGAGGGCAAACTCGAAAGAATCGCAAACCTCTTTGCCGATTGTTACCTGTGCTGTTGGGACAGAGGCGAGCGAGCAGCTCAAAGCGAATGTCCCTCTCCACGCTCATGGAGCGCGCGTGAATCTTGAAGATGTGTGTGCGACCCTGAAGCGCAGAGAAAACGAACACGCGTTTGTTTAATGGCCCACTTTGATTTTGCTGGACTTGTGAGATTTACCTCAAGGTCAGGCAAACTGAACTCGATCTTTCTATCTAAACGTCCGGGTCTCATCAGGGCCGGATCCAGGGTGTCGGGCCTGTTGGTGGCCATCAGTACTTTGATGTTGCCGCGCGGGTCGAACCCGTCCAGCTGGTTGATGAGCTCCAGCATGGTCCTCTGCACCTCGTTGTCTCCGCCAGCACCGTCGTCAAAACGTGCACCTAGTTGGTTCAATAAGTGACATTTCATGAGGGAGGGGCAATACAATACAAAAAAACGAGCACTTGAACAGGACGCCATACCTCCAATGGCATCTATTTCATCAAAAAAGATGAGACAGGCCTTCTTGGTCCGGGCCATCTCAAAGAGTTCTCTCACCATCCGGGCTCCCTAAATAAAGGTAAACTTATTTGTTGGCACAGTGGAAATTAAAAAAACAAAAACTAGATACATCTATACCGTGCTCTCACCTCCCCCACATACTTCTGCACCAGTTCGGAGCCGATGACTCGGATGAAGCAGGCGTCTGTCCGGTTGGCCACGGCACGGGCACACAGGGTCTTTCCGGTGCCGGGTGGTCCGAACAGCAGCACACCTTTCGGGGGCTCAATTCCCAAGTTGACAAACCGCTCAGGCTGGTGAGAGAAAACAAAGGCTGCCAACATCAGTCACATACCTATGGTGCCCCCTTGTGGCCGTTCAACTATAAGAACGTAAATAGAATGTTACTCTGCGCATTAATAAGGCTTTCGATTTTTCAATCCAGGGCGTTAGGTGGACAACTCACATGGAGCAGGGGGGTCTCGACCACTTCTCTCAACTTTTCAATCTGCTCCTTGCAGCCGCCGACATCACTGTAAGTAACATCCGGTTTCTCCTCCACCTAGATGAGAACGTGCAATGCGTTGTGTAAATTTGCCCTATTTCAACTCTTGAGGTGATTTGTACGTAGAGATTGGCTCGTATGTTTGTACCTGCATCATGGTGACGGTCGGGTCGATTTTAGGAGGCAGGGGGATATGGATCTGATACTTGTTCCTGTCAACACTGAGACAACAAACACCAAGTTGCCAGAGTCAATGTTTGAAGTCTTAACTAACGTTAATTTAGAATGTTTTTTTTTTCCATACCCAACTCTCATGCCCTCCTCGATGTCAGTCGGCGCCACCTGATCGCTCAGGTCCACCACAAACTTGGCAAACTGTTTGACATTGATGATGTATTTGGGGTCCTCAGAGTCCGCGTTGATGATTTTTGTGCATCTGTTCAAATCAAATGGAAAAGGCTACAAACACCTGGCCGGTGCCGTTCGCTCCCGTCTACTGTAAAGTCTGGAAATGTCTCTTAGTGCCGACTGTGTGCTATATCGTTATATCCACCGTGTACCTTGCAACTTGTAGTGGTTGTTCACTTTGAAGGGTCTGCTTGTCAGCAGCCAGATCCCAGAGAGCTGGTGGCGCCAGCCCCGTGTCTGACTCTTTAATACCTGTCACAGCAAGGAAACAGTATGATACGTTGCTACAGTACACACTGTATACTTTAAGGCTTCTTCTTTCTATTTTAGAAGCAAATGAACTTTATTTTTTCACTCAACCTGTAAGCTCGTTGATTTTTTTGAGCAGCTGCTGGATGTCATCTTCCACTTGTTTGATCTGTCTGGAGTAAGTGCTTTGACCCTGGTGATGCAAGACAGTTTTAGGATGTGGATTACAACACAATGTATTTCTTGACTACTATTTCTACCAACCCTGGAAGGACACTCACATAAGTCTTCAGCAGAGCAATGTCTCCTTCATCCAAAGCTGTATGCAACATGAACATGTCATTGAGTTGGCATTATGACAGACAGTGGGCTACAAAGTTTTTATTTTAGGCATAAAAAGACATTTGGAAGATTATGTCCAAAGTGTGATTGCACTGTGTGAATGCTTGAAGCATTCTAAAATGTTATATTTTATTCTCCTTACATCTATGATGTGCTTCCACTTGCATGTTTCTCAAGCAGTTCTCACCATTCCAATATAACGCCACGCCACACCATGTTTTTTTTTTTCATTTGGCATTCCAGCATTCACAGGCAGTTTCTCCAGAAAGTGCATTTTCTAGCTAGTTTTCTTTCGGACAACAATGCAAATCTCACCGTTACCGACCTGAGCTAACTTTAGCTAAGCAGCTAATGTCTTAAATTACTATTTACCAACGATTGTTGTTTTTTAAAATCTACCTCTGATGGGTGAGTCATCCTTGTCCTCCTCCTTTGTCTTCCTCTGATCGTCTCCTAAATAGTCTGGCATATTTGATTTGTATTATTGTAGTTTTTACCAGTCAAACGGAGCTTCTGGAACAGCTGAATTGTACGATTACACAGCAGGTTTGCGTTTCCGTCCCCGGACCGGAAGTTTTTTTGTCGGAGTGTTATTTCGGATACACAAATTATACCCGATTATTTTATTTATCGTGTACATAAAGTAAATTCTTAAACCAGTCTTAAATTCCTCCTCCTATTACTACCACTACTATTAAAAATAATAATAATATAGGCTAGCAGTGTACAAATCCCATCACGAAAGGTAGAAACTATTTTAGGAATAGATTGCAGCGGGTATTTGGTCGAATGCTTTTATACATTTTAATATAGCGTTATTGAGCACAAATAAAATTCCCCGCTTGGTTTCTCTAGTCTTCTCAGTCATGAAACTGATTGATAACAGATAGCATAGCCTGTCAAGCCCCTTTCCATTTTGTGTACACTAGGTGGCGGTAAACACCAAAAGAGACGTAATCTGCCAATAAATTTAATTAAGAGGAAGAAAAAGGAAGACGTGACGTTCGGCTGCCGTGAAGTGCGGAGGCAGAAGCGGAAGTATACGTCACTTCCGCGAAGAGTCGTCGATACTGCTCCGAAGAAAAGCAGCGTGACCTACGAAGTGCACTTGATGGAAGAAGTCTTCAAACTTGATTCGAAATGGCGTTCCAAGATCACGCGTATACGAGTACCACATATGATACAGTTAACCCCGTGGAGCCGATTTATAATTGTAAGTCTTATTTGCAAAACAAATAAGTAAATAAAAGGAGAAAAAAAGACTGCGTGCTGTTGTGAAATTGGCGACCTTCAAAGTACTCTCCGTGTGCACGCGTGGACTTTGTTGTTACGACTTGGCTTGCTTTAGAAATGGCAAATCGAAAAAGATTTTCCATAATAAAGTGTTTGTTAGTTAGCAACCTTGCCAAAGCTGTCGTAATTTCCGGTATTATGCAGCATAAGTTCTGTGTTTTGTATTATGCTGCGTTTATGGTTTTCGTTGTTATAGTAAATCTGAAAGTCTAAATGTCCATTGTTTTCTGGCTGCTGCTTTATCGTAATTATGTATTTTCTCTTCTAGGGAGCCTGAAAGAAGCGGAAGAGCTTGTGAAGCTAAGGATGTCAAATAATTATCTCTTTTCTGGGAAAAGAAATACTTCCGCGTGGGCATGGATGGCCATCCTCAGACATATGGGCTTGCAATACAAACTGAACCACCGTCAAGCCAAAAAAAAATGGCAAAACCTAAGGCAGCGATACAAGGTACAATTTTTTTAACTTTACATTTATATTCAGATTCATGTTAGACATATTTTGACACGCTGCTGTTTCTTTTTAGGAGCTCAAGGACAAAAGTCATTGTTATATGTGGCCTCTCTTCACTTTGATGGATGATGCCATGGAAGGTAGACTGGAAGGCAGTGCCCCCGTTTTGGGAATCTGCGCTGAAGATAAATTGTGTATTTCTCCCAGAGGCAAGAAGAGAAAGAGAACCCCAGTGAGCATCTCACCGGCTCAAGTAACGAACATTGTCCCGGAAATTGAGGTGACATTGAATGGAGATAGTGGAACAGGAGAGGAGGAGGATGGTGCTGATGAGGATGGGATGGAAGACAGCCAGGAGTTCATGTCACAAGACGAGGCAACAGAGAGGGAAAAGCGATTCATGGAGCTAGAGCGCATGGCTCTGCAACGAGACAGGGCATTGCTGGAGCGGGAGATTGCCATTGTGGACCGGGACCGAGCCCTGATGGAGCGTGAGAGGCTGCTGATAGAGCGGGAGAAAGAGATGGTGGCCAAGGACCGAGATGCCATCAATAGGGAAAGGCAGGCGCTGGAGAGACAGAAAGCCGTGTCGGAACCCCCCACCTCCCGGAAGACCACCAGAGACAATGACTCAATCGACAGGACGGAACGCTTTCTGGATTTATTCGAAAAACTAATTGATAGTTTTTGATTGGGACTAAACCTTGGTCCTTTTGGCCCCAAAATGACATCTTTTTAAAATCAAAAGCAGGGACTTTTTTTTTAAACAGTCATGAATAATAACATTAAAAACAAGCTTTTTGTTTTGGAAGAGGTCTGCAAAAGAACTTTATTTACTCATGTGGTTATACGATACAGAGCACACAGGAGCAAGCAGTTAGCATTGTTATTTGCCACAACGCTCCTTCCAGTTCATGAACAATAGTCTTTGGAATAAGCTATTGTGCACAAAAATCTAAACTGAATTTTAAATTTTTATATTCGGGAATGAGAATTTTCGGACCAAAATGACCATGGACCTCTTGGAGATCTCAAGGTCGTGCGGTGCATTATGGGTCATGTGCTTTGCCTTCGTGCCTGTCAATTTGAATGCCATAGCACTTACTTTGGAATGAATCGCACCTCGGCCGTAATTTCATGAGTGAAATGAGTTTTAAACGACAAGGTTTATTTTTTTTAAAAATAGAAATACATCTACTTTGCATCGGTTGAAATGTCCAAATCGTAGCTTTCTACATTGACCCCATTCAATGTTGGTAGCGGGAGAAAATCCCTTACACCATAATGCACCGCGCGCCCCGGACATCGGCGGGTGGCAAGTTTGATGTCCGGAGGTTTTTTTTTTTTTTCCTTTTCCGTCGTGAGAGGTGAGTGGCATTGCCATTCAAGGTGTAGTGTTCATTTTTTGGTTACGTTTAATTCCCGCCGCTGTTATCACCGATGAACGTACGATCACGTTAGCATTAGCTAGCGCTAAATTGTCGTAGCCCAGACTGTCACTCGTGCCTCAGTTTACCTCAGTTAATGTGCCGTATATTTATTTGTTTTATGTGATAAGCACATTAGCATCCAAGTTGGGAGGACGCCCCCCCCCCCGTCTACTTGGCGTGTTTCGCTCCAAACAAAGACAATTACGTTTTTCTGACTATTTTCTCAATTGTCATTCTCATCCCTGTATATTAGAATACAGACTTTACAACAAATGCTTGTGTTTAAAATGCGTCTTTTATTGCATTAGGTACTCAAAATCTCACCTTCCATTGAGCTCCGGCCTTCAAATAAGTTTACATTTTCAAAAGACTTATTTAATATTTATATTTAATCTTTACAAAACAAACATCTTTAAAATAAAAAAAGAGACCAGTTGTGAGCAGACACCAGACAGAAACATTCAGTTGAGGGTTGACTTTAACTCCTAAATCAAGTTGTGAACAGTTTGGCTTTTATTTAAGTGTTGGTGGGTGTGTGTATGTGTGTGCGTGCACCCTTTTTATGGAGGTGTGCATGTACATGTTCAGTCACATCTCACGCATTTATGGAATCGTGGACATCCACGCAGAGTGGTACCTCGCCGCAAAATAGTGTATCCCAGTGGCCTGTGGAAGGCCACCGAAAGACGAGTGTCCGCATGCCCCGTGCACGTGTTGGGTGGATATTTACAGGGACACGTGGTGGCGGTCGCTGCGTTTGGGTGTGTTTTGTGTTTTATATGAGGTCCCCGACCGGGATGCGGGGCAGGCAGATGTATGCCTGCGGAGTTCGGCTCAGGTTGATGGGGTTGCCGTCAAGGCGGATGTCCTCCAGCGCGTTGCGGATGTAGTTAAAGTCATGCAGGTTGCAGAAGGTGTCCTCGTGCATCGACTGAATGTTGTTACGCTGCGGGAGGATTGAGAAAATATGACCATTATGCAGGAAAGGTACTAAACCAGGAGGGTGCTATCGCCCCGTCAGAAATCTTAGCCCCGGTTAAGACCCTACGGCATTTCATTTGATATTCTAAAATATATTTATGAACTATTTTCTCCTGTGTGCAGGACAGTTTCGGGTTTGTATGCCAACCGCCAATAAATAAAAAAAAGAAGAGTTTTGCGTTCGCGCAGATTGCATTAAAAAGTGTCACGCCATCCAGCACAATGACCACTTTGGATCTTTAAAAGTGTAAAATTTAAATGGATTCAACAGAATTTACATTGACGCTGCTTTTGACAGATGAAGAAGACTTGAGGAACTAACGAGGTCGAGAAAGCGATGCTGCCTTCGCCTGCTTTGTGCTTGACTGGTAAGAGACTGATTACATTTGTGCTTGCATTTTGAAATCATAAAACACGCCCCGAAAAGGAGAATGCCCCTGTCTTATGAATTTGATAACACTAAATATTGAACATGATGTGATCAAAATAAATAGTAACTTAAGTCAATTCCAACCACAGGGCAGCATATGTAAATAAAAACACACTAAACTTAAAACTCACATAGTTTCAGTTCATTGCTATCTTTTTTTTTAAACTCCCAGACGTTTGCCTTGAAAGTTGTTGGTGCTAATTTCAGTGATGTGTTGATGTGCTACTCTCGTGTAGCGACGATATTTCACGTCACATGAATTTTTTTTGAAAAAAGACTGATTAAATAAATTGATTTTTGGTTTTATAAATCAATATTGGCCTATGAAAAGGAAAATCGATTTACCGTTTAAACATTTTTTAGTTTTTTTTTTCACCTATCCATATTTTCTTTTAACTATGGACCGGTTGTTCGCTTAGATGTACACCCATCACTGAGTGGGTATTGAACCAACATTGCTTTCACGGAAGGTAGGCGATTCAAACACTGGGACAAGGGACTCAAAAGACCTCTATTTCAAACCTGATTTGAATCATTGACCTCATTCCTCCATTCTACCAAGAGCTGCTTGGAAACTAGGCTATGTTTGTTGGATCTCAACGGTCCAATAATGGTGTGAATGGTCATAATTTTTCCACTCAGCAAAAATAAACTTTCCTTGAAGCCTGATTTGAACCATCAGCAAATGTTTCCCAGTACTAGAGAGCAGGTTCCTTCAAAACCTGAGCAGAACCTACCTGTAGATGTAGGGATCGCAGACTGTCTGGAAGAGGCACGGGGATGTAGTCAATTTCGTTGTCAGTCAGGTACAGGTAGAGCAGGCCGGTCATGTCCTGGATTTTACAAGAGATGTGTGAAGGTTCAGTCACAGGGGATACCAGCAGGTCTCCCATCCTGACAGACGCACCTTGAAGGCCTCTTTGAGAATACCCTTGGAGTCAATGTTATTGTGGCTGGCATCGATCAGGGTCATGGTCTCCGGCAGGGCAGGCATCTGTGAAATGTGATTTTCTCGAATCACCAGCTCCTCAAGCTCCGGCAGACCCATAAATGTCTGACTGTCAATGGACGAGATGGCATTGGCTGTCAAGTCGATCCTCTTCAGCTTGTCTGAAATACAGCCAGACCCACACCGTCAGCTCTTTGCGTGTGCAGATCACGCCAAGACCGGGTGCAAAACATACTCATCGAGGCAAAGTCAGACTTGTTGATCTTGGTGATCCTGTTGTAGCGGGCATAGAAGTGTGTGGTGTCTTTGGGCAGAGGTGGTATGCTGTCCAGTTTCAAGTCATCACAGTACACCGAACCACCAAGGCATGTGCACAGCAAGCAAGTGGGCATCCCTGAACGACACAGGGCGAGAGAGGAAACGGTGGGGGGCAAGGGAACATAATAGTCAGCGCTAGATTCCATCTCCTAGATTTGCTTTGTGACCATGTTTTGACATTTATTACAGGTGGAACTTGGCAACCTTTTCTTTTCTCCATTCCTTGCTCACCTTTCGTGTCAACCTCAGGTTCTTCGGGTTCCTCGGGCTCTGGTAGACCAGAGCCCAGTGTCGTTTCTACACCACCAGTACCCTCCTGAGGGGTCTCTTGTGTCGGAAGCAGCCCCTCCTCTTGTTAGAGACAAGATTTGGGTTGAGGAAACAGGTTAGATGATCAGGGACGTGAACCACATGTCTGGCAATCAGTGGGAAACTGTTTGCCGCAGTAGTTAGCAGTGTTACCAAGAATGTGTTTGTTGCATTTAACAATAGTTAAATGGAAATTACTTTTGAGTGTTAGAAAGCAGAGATACTCCATTGGCACCACTATTAACAAATCAAAATACCCTTTGGCTTATGTCTTGGATCTAGCGTAGATACTGACCTTTATCAGTCTCTGGAATCAGAATTATATCGGGCTCCTCAGGTTCTCCAGAGGCAGAGACACCAGAAGTTCCAGAGACATCTATGTCTCCAGAGACCCCAAGATCCCCTGAGCTTCCTGAAACTCCTGAGAAATCCCCTGAAGTACCTGAAGCCTCTTGTGGGATGGTTGTAGGAATGAGAGGCACTTCCACCTCTTGTTTGAGCCAAGTTGGAGTGGTTAGGAGACACATTGGGAGGATAAGATGTGGGATGGACGTTCAATCAAATTGTTAACCATTCATTCTCTCACAATTAACCAAACAGCAGGTTAGGGTGACAATGGTTACGAGTAACACAGTGGCGTGTTTTAAAAGTACTAACCTTCAGGTAATAATGTTATCCCCGACTCCCAAGACTCATCGGTGTCCCCAGAAACCCCAGAGCCTCCAGAGGCACCAGAGGTCAGGAGATCTCCGGAGAACCCAGAACCAGATTGATCCCCAGAGGCCAGGGGGAGTTCACTGGCAATACCAGACCCCCCTGATCCCAATTCAATTAGAATTCCAGAACTTCCAGAGCCAAAGTCCCCTGAGGCTCCAGAAGCTGTGGATCCCATGGTATCTCCAGATATCAAGAGATCGCCAGATCCTGAAAGATCTCCGGATATCAAGAGATCCCCGGACCCAGAAAGATCACCGGATATCAGGAAATCCCCTGATCCTGGGATATCCCCAGAAATCAGGAGGTGCCCAGATCCGGAGATCTCTCCAAATCCAGAGCCCTCCCCAGATTCATAGAGATCCCCCGATATCAAGTAATCCACATCCCCGGACACCAAGAACTCTCCCGAAGCTCCAGAGCTGCTGAGGATCTCCTCAGAAGCACCGGAGATGAAAACAATATCACCAGATCCCCCTGAGGCACCCGAGACCAGTGGGTCCCCTGAGCCTCCTGACCCAGAAACCCCAGAGGCTCCTGAGGCACCGGACCCCACTGAGCCCCCAAAATCCCCGGAGACATGAAGGATGTCAATGGGCATCAGACGCAGCTCCACCTCTTGTTAGAGACAAGATTAGTTATTAATGGACACACAACAAACAGGACACATTTAACCACTGACAGCTAGTTAAATGGAACACGTGCATAAAGAAAAGATGTAGACAACCACAATAGATTGGTTGTTGCCGGTGAAGACTAATGCTGCTTGCACAACTCTAAGACCCTCCAAAAACCTCAGATTTCAAGTAGCTTTCTGTTTGTGCCAGCTTTGAGCTGTTTCAGACCTTTTTGTGTGTCTGGGCCCATAAGAACGCCGGACCCCCCTGAGCCCTGAGGGATGAGCTGGGGCTTCAGGGGCAACTCCTCCTCCTCCTCCTCCTGTTCTTCCAACGAGGCCTCAGGCATTGGGTAGTTGTAGTCAGGTGGGGCCAGGGTGCCAATCTCTACCTGAGGGGAAGACAACAGCCCTGAGACTGGAATGCCAAGCGTTATAATTAGACTCGCCTCATTTGAATCCATAATTGGTAATATATGGATCACAGTAACTTAATTACTCCCACCCCATCCAATCCTATGCTTTTGCAGAATCGGGACTAAATTGAGTGCAAGTGGCTCATTAAAATTGCATGTGGGCTCAGGACTGACCACCAGATAGCAGCAGATACTCCCCATGTTGCCTACCCTCTAAATCCACCACATTTCTCATTAACCTTCAACTCAATAGTGATGGTTCCATGCTTCCAATAAGAACAAACCGACCATTAAGTTAAGATGACATAAATTGTGGATGCAGTTTTTTTATTATTTTTTTATTTTTGTAAATATAAACATGACAATTCACAGTATTAGACAGCACAATGCTGCAATTCAAGTCTCCTCCAGTTGGTGGCAATGAGCCCCCACGCACCACACAGCACAGGTAATACCTGACACTTAAACATATGCAGTAAAAAGGACCACTCAATGGTCCTTGTGGAACCAAGACACACATGGTAGCTCCATGAACCTTTACTTTGCGCTGCATTTAAAACTAGGTCATAGCAAATCTATAATAATACAGTATAGTGAAGAGGAAACGTAAGGAGATCTTTCCGGAAGCTAATAAGTCATTAATGAGAGTAATTAAGAGATGTCCCAGTGTTTGAGTTTTGGCTGGATGACAGTGCGGGATGCAACAAGGCAGGCCTTTGATTGCACTGACTCCCCCCCCACCCACCCATCACCCACCACCCTTTCCCCAAAACAAACATATTCACCCATGGGGGAAGAAGAGGCGAAAAGCTGGCAAGCAGACGTGCAGAAAAAACAGCATGGGAATACTGACGCTCAATGTAAGCGCGGAGTCAAAGCCAAACAGTATGTCGCTGCCCCGCTAAATAGTTTAATAGTCACTGGAAGCATTCAGCTTGAGAGAAGCTGCACTGGATTTAGAAAAATACTTAATATCATGGACATGCTCTGTCGAGAATATCTGGCTGAGAGAGTAGACAAAGTCTCTGAGCTTTCCAAAATAAAATTTTCATGGGCATCAACATAAGGCCTTTGCATTTCTTGACACCTGCAAAAATGTAAATTTTTACTCCCAGGAAAAAAAACCCAAAACAACAAAGCATGTCATTGCATATGCATATTTTGTCTTGCATCCCAATGCAATATGGCTCGCTATGGCCACTGCTGTGCTCGCTTCATTGTTATTCCAGGCCTTCCCTGCACAAAAGCTGCTTAAAGAGTCCAAATGTGTCATAGTAGAAGGTGAAAAAAAAAAAAAACTCAGAGTTGCTTATTAAGCAGTGGAGATTTGCCCTAGATTCATTGCCGATGAGCCTTTGCTCCCTCTTGAGAAGAAGAGAGGAGATAAATTGCAACACACACACACACACACACACATACACACACACAAAAAAGCTTGGAAGTGGAAAGTCAAGACTCAGCATTCCACAGGCATGGAGCTCAGCCTCATGCTTCATTGTTCCCTCGACAACTGATGCACATGTACAAAATCTGTCAAAACGCTCCTTCACATGGAGGCATACCAAATGTCATTAGCTTTACAATATGTGCAACATAGCGTATGCTCTCGGTGTTTTGTCCTTAAGCAAAATACATTTGTTGGGGCGGGGGTGGGGCAGTTGAGGCGTTTGGCTTCAGAGTTTCCCGAAATGCTATGCTATATTTCAGAATGTTTCGTTTCCATGAGCTGATTTTTGTTTTTGTCAATGTATTCACGTGTCATATTCAACGGTAAATCCATCTCCCTATCAATCCACATGTTGGAGTCCATTTTCCTTTTGGGGCGGTTTCTGATTGGCTACAATGTTGTCATAGTCATGGGATACCGTGATACCCGTTAGATGTGCTTAGGTGTAGGAGGCGGGGACTAGAGGTAATTTTTCAAGTAGTTGACATGGTAGTCAGTCTCCTGGCTTAAAGTCGCCCCCTCCTCAACTCCCCACTTGCCTTCGAACTTTGTGTTTTTGCGACCTACATTCATATGATAGATGGAAACACATGCCTCACAGGCCGGCCACATCAGACGGTTGCAGTTGAGCTAAACCACTTGTGGAATCCTGGTTTTTGAAGCAGGGTATGGGGGGGTGGGGAAGGACGACTGCAGATGACTTGGAAGTAGCGGCGGTTATTATTGCGAATGACAACCACCAATCCCAGTCTCGAATTCTTTCACCCCCCCACCCACCCATCACCCACCACCCTTTCCCCAAAACAAACATATTCACCCATGGGGGAAGAAGAGGCGAAAAGCTGGCAAGCAGACGTGCAGAAAAAACAGCATGGGAATACTGACGCTCAATGTAAGCGCGGAGTCAAAGCCAAACAGTATGTCGCTGCCCCGCTAAATAGTTTAATAGTCACTGGAAGCATTCAGCTTGAGAGAAGCTGCACTGGATTTAGAAAAATACTTAATATCATGGACATGCTCTGTCGAGAATATCTGGCTGAGAGAGTAGACAAAGTCTCTGAGCTTTCCAAAATAAAATTTTCATGGGCATCAACATAAGGCCTTTGCATTTCTTGACACCTGCAAAAATGTAAATTTTTACTCCCAGGAAAAAAAACCCAAAACAACAAAGCATGTCATTGCATATGCATATTTTGTCTTGCATCCCAATGCAATATGGCTCGCTATGGCCACTGCTGTGCTCGCTTCATTGTTATTCCAGGCCTTCCCTGCACAAAAGCTGCTTAAAGAGTCCAAATGTGTCATAGTAGAAGGTGAAAAAAAAAAAAAACTCAGAGTTGCTTATTAAGCAGTGGAGATTTGCCCTAGATTCATTGCCGATGAGCCTTTGCTCCCTCTTGAGAAGAAGAGAGGAGATAAATTGCAACACACACACACACACACACACATACACACACACAAAAAAGCTTGGAAGTGGAAAGTCAAGACTCAGCATTCCACAGGCATGGAGCTCAGCCTCATGCTTCATTGTTCCCTCGACAACTGATGCACATGTACAAAATCTGTCAAAACGCTCCTTCACATGGAGGCATACCAAATGTCATTAGCTTTACAATATGTGCAACATAGCGTATGCTCTCGGTGTTTTGTCCTTAAGCAAAATACATTTGTTGGGGCGGGGGTGGGGCAGTTGAGGCGTTTGGCTTCAGAGTTTCCCGAAATGCTATGCTATATTTCAGAATGTTTCGTTTCCATGAGCTGATTTTTGTTTTTGTCAATGTATTCACGTGTCATATTCAACGGTAAATCCATCTCCCTATCAATCCACATGTTGGAGTCCATTTTCCTTTTGGGGCGGTTTCTGATTGGCTACAATGTTGTCATAGTCATGGGATACCGTGATACCCGTTAGATGTGCTTAGGTGTAGGAGGCGGGGACTAGAGGTAATTTTTCAAGTAGTTGACATGGTAGTCAGTCTCCTGGCTTAAAGTCGCCCCCTCCTCAACTCCCCACTTGCCTTCGAACTTTGTGTTTTTGCGACCTACATTCATATGATAGATGGAAACACATGCCTCACAGGCCGGCCACATCAGACGGTTGCAGTTGAGCTAAACCACTTGTGGAATCCTGGTTTTTGAAGCAGGGTATGGGGGGGTGGGGAAGGACGACTGCAGATGACTTGGAAGTAGCGGCGGTTATTATTGCGAATGACAACCACCAATCCCAGTCTCGAATTCTTTCACTTAGAGTCATTGTTAATCTTCCAAGTTGGCGATTCATTCAGGCTTAGGAGTTTTGTCCTGCTCACCTGTTCCCAAAAAAACGTCATCCGCACTGTTAATGTGATTTGTTGAAAACTGTTTTGCAGCTGCCTCAACAGCAATTCTCAATTCTGCCAAACTTACAGTACCGTCGGGGCCCCCTCTTATTCAGCTCACCTCGGGATCCTCAATGGTCGGCCCGTCCTCATAGTCGTACTCCTGGTTTTCCGAGTTAATGTCGTCCACGTCGTAGTTGCCGTCGTCGTACGAGTCCAGGTCGGCTTGACGGGAGAACCGGGGATTGGCCACCGCCACTTTCAGGACGAGCAGTCCCAGTACTAGTCGCACGAGCGTCTTCATTGTTCGCCTTTAGGATACAGAGGAAAAAAACCAATGACGTATGTGCAGTTAGAATAGAAAACGAATCTCCTTGAATGTATTCTGGTTCATTAGTCATCGTTTTGAGCACTAAATAGCCGCCTATTTGTGGTTCATGAATTCACCTTTTCACATTCGTCGATGCATCCGAGACTCAGCTACTCACTGATGCTGCAAGATGGCGGCAAAGCCCTCGCTAAATAGGAAAGGCGTCTTTTGGTGTCAAGGAAGTACGCCGAAGTGATACATCGGAACTTAAAAACATTGTATTTTGGGGTGTAGCTAAGTTTAGCCTGGGTTGTTAGTGGAAGTTGCAGATTTTTTTTCAGGGTTTATTTGTAAGATGAGCTTGAAATGATATTAAAGTGTTTTGGGGTTTTACTTCATGCTGCAACAAAAGCGAATAATACAGCAAATTCAAAACATTATGGGGAAGTGTCAATCATTCTTTTCCCTTTTGCTGCATGGACACTCACTGTAACTGGAAACAAACAATACATCATGATGACAAGTCTCCAATGCTGCTAAAACACTCCACAACATTCCCTCGCGCTTACATCATAGCCGTACTGTCTGACACGCATGCCGTCGTAATCGTCAGTAGACACCGAATGGATTAGTAGTTAGCTCGGGCGGCCATTTTCGGCTCAGCCACCACTAGTGTGTTACAATCCAGGGGTCACGGTTTGTCACGGTTGACAAAATCAGCCCAATGCGAGGCGCTTCTGTTTTCTGAGTGTGCAGGGCCAACTTTTACATGAGCAAGTCAGCCAAGTTGCTGCTTATTAAATTTTAGGGAGCAAGTCGGAATGACTGTATTTTTTTTGGGTTAATATTAGGTTTGGCTTCGATTCCACTGAGGAGCACACATTTTGCTCCTATTTACTTTGGATTCCTCGGTTCATTCTCGTTTGTATCCAGTTCAATGTGTGGCGAGGCATTTGTGATGATCAGGGGATGAGCGTATGATAAGAAGCTCTCGTATAGCTGGCATGGACTCAAGAACAGAGATTTATTGGTGTGGCAGGTGCAGCCAAGTCTCAGCATGTTAGAGGTAAAAAAAAAAAAAAAACATCAAGGAGTCCTCCAGGCCGGGGCAGAGAAACGGAGAGCGAGGGAGGAAGAAGCAGAAGAAGAAGAAAAAGAGAGACGTGGACAAGATGTTGGCCCTCAGGGTTAGACGGAGAGAGCGCAAAAAAGGAGGGACGAGAGGGAGGAGGGGTCCGGTTCAAGACTTGCTTGAACCTTTGGCCCTTCACAGAGGGCCTTTATGAGGGCCTGGTCATTGCCTGTCTCAGCACTCAAACTCCAAATTCCACCGAGGTTTGTGGACAGGATGGCAGTCAGCTTTTCGGGCGGCGAGGAAACGCATATACAGACAACCGCACGCACATTTGCTTGGAAAGACTCACAGATGCACACTGTGTGTGTGTGTGTGTGTGTGTGTGTGTGTGTGTGTGTGTGTGTGTGTGCGTGTGCGTGCGTGCGTGCGTGTGTGCGTGCATGTGTGCGTGTGAGATTGAGAGAGAGAGATGCATCAAGGGTTCACTGCAAAAGATAAGAATGGAGACAGAGTTGTTCTTTTATAATGGCCATGACAAATGCAGGAAATGATCCTCTCTCTTATGCTTGGCCCACCATCGGACATTTCCGATATCCCATTTCCCCCCGAATAGCCACGCTGCCTAGCGGCATCCCGCAAGTTTGCAGATTGCAAAAAAATTCCAGAGAATTTCAACCATGTTCAAATAAATTCCAGTGTATCTGCACGCTGCCATCGGGGCGATCATAAAACCAAAGCTGATATTTATTAATTGAGCAAAGGCAAGTTTCACCAAGATCCCAAAATAACATCAAGAATGATGAAACATCCTTAAGGTCAGAAAATCACAGTTCAAAGCATCCCACTTGTCAATGTAGAACAGTCCTTGACCTGTAATTTTCCGAACGTATGACTTGTTCTGCAATGGTAAGCCCAAGATCCAATTGTGCAAAGCATCCGGAATAAAGACCATCCTTTCACTCAAACACATCAACAATTCATCACAATCATCGAGGATTACAAATCTTCCACCTGTAGCTTTTCCAAACACCACCGCATTAGTAAAAGTGAAAATATAGCTGAGCTTGAAATACCTCTGAGCAATGGTAAGTTCATTTTTTCCCCCTACCAACTAAGCTTGCAAAGCCGCTAGAAATGAGCAAACAGAATTGAAAACAAAAACTCACGCATCCATTACGAACGTCATAATGTCATCGTTCAATCCCAAATTCAAGCGATTAGTCTCAGTGCAAACATGGCTTGACAAATGGCGAGGAAGAATAATCAATCATGAAGGTCATAAAACCACCATCCAGTGCATCCCAATCATTAAGAAAAAACAATCCGTCACCTGTAGCGGCCCCAAACTCAATCCATGAGTCAATAAGGGAGCCCCTTGTGCCACCCCGCCCCCTCCCTCTCCTTATCATTGAGATAGCGGCCGCGAGAATGCTCACCTGTGTCTCCCGCTCTCCCGAATGCTCCCTTCAGCCACGATGGAGATGCTGAGGGCTCCGCAACTCGGCCAATGGCGAAGGGGTCGTGCAGAGGTGGCTCGACGAGGGCGGGGGCGGGTGGCGACGCGGGCCGGGCGTGTACCAATGTGTGTCCGGGTCTCAGTGGTGTGTATGTGCCGTGTGCATGTGTAGGGTCTGACGGACCTGAGTGCCTCTGCCGCTTACGTGTGAAGGTAGGCACTGAGGCTGATTGGACCGGAGCAGGTTGCTTTTGGTGGCTTGCTTGGGCTAGGGGAGGTGGAGGGCACCCACCCAATCCCAAATAAGAGTACATCACCAGACACACACACTTAGACATCAGACACAAAGAACAAGACAGCAAAGAAAGACCCCCCCCCCCACCCCCACCCCTGCCCTCATAGATTTTTATCCTTTACCAGCGCATCCCTTATTTTGGTACCTGTGTATTTATTTCAATCACACTAAAATATTTCACTTCCTGATGTGAAAACTTGGCGTTTCATCTCAGTGCATGTGTGTGTGTGTCTGTGTGTGTGTGTGTGTGTGTGTGTGTACATGCATGTATGATCCAAGGGGCTTGTGCACACAATGGGACCTCTGTGAGGAGCCCCTGGTAGCACGGAGCCGAGAGGAAGTCCCTCCTTTTTTCAAGCCGAGCTCAGATGTGCTCAAAGCTGATCCGAGTTCAGCCGCGCGCCACGTAAGCGTGAGCGCCGGTGAAAAGGATCTGATCTGGAATCGGAACCAAAGAGGCGCCAGGAACTCCTGACCTGACACAGTGGGAATGAATCTGGTAAATGCAGGACAATCCTGCATTCGTGAATACCTTTATTGAAACTGAAGACAAGAGAATACATCTTACTTTTTCAGCTACACGAACACCATAATTGAAAAACAACAATGGATAAAAAATAAATTGCCATTAGTCAGTACGAACGTATAGAAAAAGTACGAATCGGTCTACAACTTATCTTAAAATAGTAGAAAATAAGCGGAAGTCAAAAGAAGACTTCATTGGGTTTAAATACATCTTCGGATATTATCTAGATGATCAACAGATTTGTACATTGAAGGCACAACTAGTGGTCTGTTAAACTGCCTGATTTATTTACACTTCCTAAAAACGAAAATGAGTTTTTGCTGTTGTCACGGGTGTCCGGCGTTCAGACTGTTCTTCGCGGTAGAGCCATTTAAAAAAATAAAATTAGATCACAATGGACCTAAGGAGACGGAAGCACAGAATGACATCCCTGGGAATCGGCGGTTCGATATCGTTGCCGTCCAATCGGAGGTAGCGCAGTCGCGGCACACTGTCATTGGCGTCCACGCTGTCAATGTCCGTGGGGCAGACGTTGGAGCCACTCACGCCTGAAATGAAACGGGAAACGATTACAATCGCTCATTGTTCCGCCTGCGCTCGTGCGAAACCTACTTTTAATGTTGTTGTGGTCCAAGTACAGCTGTTCAAGGCCTGCGGGGATCAGGGGCACCTCGGTGAGCAGGTTGTGTGACAGCTGGAGGTCCAGGATGCTGGAGATGTTGAACACGTTGTTCGGAACACCGCTACTGCCCAGCTTATTGTGGTTTAGCCTCAGGAAAGCCACCTTGGGTAAACCCTTGAAGTAGCCTGTGGGGATTTTGTCGATGTTGTTGCCGTCGAGAAAGAGCTGAGTGGTGGTGGGCGGCAGGCCAAGAGGCATGCTGCTCAACTGGTTCTTGGCAAGGTTGATCTGCACCAGGTTGTTAAGACCCTTCAGGCTGACCTCAGTCACGGCATCATCCATCAGCTTATTCCCCTGCAGGTCTAAGAAGGTCAGCTTATCCAGGCCAAAGAAGACCCCGTCGGGGATCTTGGAGATCCGATTGCGAGAGAGACTAAGGTGCTCCAGGCTGGCTGGGAGAGGAAATGGCACCCAGGACAAGAGATTGTCATCCAGGTTGAGGTGTTCCAGGCGCGACATTGCATCCAGGGTGCCTTTTTCCACTCCCTCGCTGGTTATTTTGTTGCGACTCAGGTTCACCCAACGCAGCTGGGTAGCGTTGCGCAGGGCGTCGGCTGAGACGACTTGAATTTGATTATTCTGCAGGTAGAGGTACCAGGTGAACGGCGGGATCGGGGGGATGCTCTTCAAACCTTGATTGTCACAGTAGACTGCACGCGGGAAGTTGGAGGGGCAGTGGCACTCCGGAGGGCATGCTTGGATCTGGGCCATTCGTTCCTCGTAAGGCATATCCTGGCTCAGGACTGCGTCGAGCAGGCACGCGGCACAGAGAAGCCTCAGAAAGCGTTCCATTTTGATGGACATCCTAGGATGCAAGCAAGTAAAAAGACATTGAGAAAATATAATGAAGACTATTTTTTTTTCTGGGTTATCCCTTTGCCTGATAGAACAACCACAAGCAGGGCATAGATCAGTTCATATTTGGTAGCACAACTATAAAGCAGTTAATCCTGATATAAAGAGCTGCTTTGCAGAACAAACAACAAAAACAAATTTTCTTCAGCTTGTACTTGAGTCTTCGCAGATGACTTCTGGTTTAAATTCTTAATGCCTCAATGTTTTGTGCAGAACTAATTTTATGTCAGGCATATTTTTTTTCCATGGATAGACACACTTCAAAGACAAAACACCTGTTTTAAGAGACCAGTTTTCCCGCTGTCAAGGCTTTGTTACCAAAATTGATGACAGACTGCCGGATTGGGTAAGCACACAGGACAAAGCATCTTGGTCTTCAAGAAACCTACCTCAAACCTTGTCAAAAGATGCGTCCACCCCGGAGTTGTCAAGGCTCGTCCCAATTGATGAGGCTGCAGCGCTCACCTCCCGCTATTTGTACGACCCGTTTTTTTTTTTTTTTCTTTTTCAGCGTATGCCAGCTTGTCACTCAAAGCATTGACTAGCCAATGAGGTCTCATGCGCTAAGCCTTAACAAGACTCGAGACGTGGCCCATTTAGAAAGAGGTCACCGCACCTCTACGCCTTCTACCTTGTCGGCTTGCGCGCTCGTGTACATTAGCCTCGCTGAGTTGCTCTGTGCTGTTTGTGATCTCTTTTGGACTAACAAATTTATGGGGGTCACTGCCAATCTTTGCATTAATTCTGTGGGGCTACGACTGTTTTTTAAAATGATTTTTTTTTTTTTTTTACGTGCATATGACGGATTGGACTTTTGTGTTTGCACCCTTGCAGAGTAACAGATAATTACATACAGTAACTAATGGAGTTGTTTTATTTCAAATGATAAGAACGGCTGCAGTTGTGAAGTCATTTGAAGACATGGGCCCCAGTGGCGTGAGGTCAGCTTTAATCTGAGAGGACTTAATTTAATGCAGGCTCATTAGGCCAATTGCTTCCTGAACAAGTGCTCCTTTCCAGTGATGACGGCAGAGGCCGCGATGGAACAGGATAATCCCTGGCAACTTGTGCGAGGGCCAGAGGCAGTACACCACACGACAGCCTCTTTAGGCACGTTGCGAAAGACAATGTTAGTGCGTCAAATCGGATAGGTCGGACATTAGGCCTAGATGTGCCTTTAAACCGTTTCAACGAAAACCATAACCTTTCAGAGGAGGAGAATCCACTCAGATTCTGTCAAAATGGTTAAGCATGCTGCAAAATGGGGCAGAAACCACAAAAATATGTTCCTTTTTTTTTTTTTTTTTCTTTTTCCTCCCTGGGGTACGCCACTTAACATTCTCGACATTGTCCATGCGCCGCAAAGTAAAAAAACACCCCAAACCCCGAACTAAAAGAGCATTGGACAATGTGTTCTTGAATGCATTGTGATGTGTTTGCGACTCTATAGGCATGTGTGTCGTACACACGAGCCGACGGCTCTGAAAGACATTTGGAGGTTTGACCGCAAGTGGTGTCAACGAGTGCGCGACGGACAACGCAAAGTGCCAAACCTGCAGATTGTCATGTCGTGGAGCCAGTTAGCCCCAGCTAGCTTTGTTTACACACTGCGGTAGATTTATGATTTGATCTGATGTTTCCATGCGACCACACTTTGTATCAAAAATCTCCATACATACAAATGTATTGGAAACATGGTTTATTCGAAATGAGTTCCTCACAGTAAATTCATGAGCATTGACCGTTCCAAAGTGGCTCTAAAATGAAGAAAAGCAAATGAGCCAGACAAGACGTGATAGTCTTCCGATGACAATGTCGCGTTAAGCCACAATAGAGAACTTCCAGAACTGCAAAAGCTGTAGTTTATTTTTTAAAAGGATGATACCATTTGAATTCATGCATGAAATGGAAAGAATACAAATCAGCAAGTGTGCGTGACAAACAAATATGTGACAGTTTCTCTTCACGGGCTATTGTTGAACTTTTTTTCAAGAGTGAAGTCAGTATCCCAAACACATATTTTACATTTTATTCATGAATACGCCGAATACGCTGACTTTCTTGCTGGCCCTTTTGCACAGCAACGCCTTCATCATACACGATACTATACATGCTTAACACGGAACATACAAAACAAATACAAAATGAAGCTACTGTAGACACACTGGAGATGCTAACGTCATTGTTTACTCCGTATCGTGTCCGGTTGACAAGCTAACGTGTCTAATTGGAATGTTCGAAGTGTGTGTCTTATTTGTTTATTTTTGTCAAAGTTAAATTTGTGCATGTTGGTGACTCGCCTGATCATTTAGATCCACAAAAATTGCATCCAAGGCACTTGCTGGGTGAGAAACTTGCTCTAGCACCTCTAAACCTTTTGGTGCTTTGAAGCTTTATTTTTATATATATATTTTTTTAGGATTTTTTTTTTTCTTTCAAATTACTTGTTTTGTATCTACAAATATTTGGTATGTATTTTAACTTTAAAATGCCCTCCCATTATCTACCGTATCATCATATCTTTTTATTATTATTGTGTTTTTTTTTCAGATGTTCATTGAAAATGAGACTGCAATGCCGCTACGGTTTATTTTTCATTGTCAGAGTGAATGTGTGAGAGTTGCGGATTATTTCAATGAGAGTTGAGTAAATCCATAAACAACGGAGGGCAGGTGGGGAGTTCCTTATTCAAACAGGATCTCAGAGGCCATGCGCAAGCACTCGGAGGCTTCGGGGGGCATGCTGTTGTGCGTGATGTTGTTGGCATCCAGGCGCAGGTGCTTCAGGTGGGAAAAGTTGACGGGGGTGACGAACTTGCAGAAACTCGACAGGTCGAACTCTGCAGGAAAAGAGAGAATTTGG